ATTATTTTATTTTATTAAAATTCAATTTAAAATTTAAAAATTTTTATACTATTAGATATTGGTATATGAATTTAAAAGTTGATTATATTAAAATATATAATTAGATTTTAAATTTAAATATTAATATTTAATAAGGTAGAATTTTAAATTTTAAATTAAAATTTTAATTTTCAAATATATATTGAAACCTTAATTTAAAAAAAAATTGAGACTGATTACCTCTAATATCATATATATATATATATATATTATACCACAATTAATAATTTTTTAAGGTCATAGCATGTGTTCACATGGAGAGCAAGTGGCTATAATTTTTTTTATATTTAATAAAAAAAATATTTGGCTTGATCTTATACATTGAAGTTTATTACTTTATTTTTGACATTATCATAGATTGATACAAATTATTTTTACTATATTGGAGTTTTTGAAATTTTTATCAATTAAGGCAAATGTGAATCCAACTTTATTTATTGGAAAGTGGACTTGGAATTGAAGTGTTTGGTGAGATGGAGTGAAACAATAAGGTGGCCCCCAAGAAACTACAGCCAAGTAATGTTTTAGAATTTTATAAATAAATCAAGGACTTATGGATTGGAAGTAATATTTTATTTGAGTTAATTTTTAATTTTGTTTCTTTGGAGTGGAGTTGAAAAGTTGGAAACTAAATCAAAATGGGATTTGACCAAGGGTGACTTCTAGGACATTCTAATTGGTAAAATCTCAGTGGTTTCTAACTATTGATTTCTATTTTTGGTTAATTGGCAATTCGCATGATGGAAGTAATTTTGGGGTTGTTGAGATTTGTTTTCGCTATGGAAGATGGAAAGGATTAAGATCTAATTTTCAATTTCAATAAGCTTGCCTTTCACACATTAGTCAAGTTATTTTTCAAAACTCTTTGTTCTTCATAAGCATCTGTTAGCCTAGCCTAACAAGCTTGTCACAAATTGCAAGTTTGAGGGTGTAAGTCCAAGGTCTCAACACTCACTTTGTAGTGCAAAATCATGGCGTTGACACTTGGGACGTGACTTGGAGTTGTCTAGAATTTTTTGAAGCTATGCAAGTTGGACCTTGGGGTGGAAACACCTAGCTTTTGTGGAGATATTTGGGCCAAACCCATAATCTAGAAAGTCCTAGCACTATGCACAAAATTCTAGAGTAGGAAGATTCTAGAATTGTATAGAGTTAGGCTAGGTGGGAAAGTTAGAGAATGTGGACTTCTTGAGAATGCTTTGGAACCTAGACTTTGAGTGGCTAACTTCAACTATAAATAAGAGGGGCTATATAGAGAAGAAAGGATGATGGCCAAGCATTCTCACAAAGCTCTTGTAAATCACCTTGCGCCTAATAAAGTCTCTTCTTCTCCCAAGTTCTAACCTTCGTAATTTACACTTTGCAAACCTTTTAGTCTAGTGGGTAAGCTGTGCCTAACATTAAGGAAAGGTTGGCTTGGTTCGGTTTAGGGTTAAATTCGAGCTAAGTGTCGCATGGTGACTTGCTAAAGTCTTATCCCATGACAATTGTTATCAGAGCATTATTTGAGGGCTTAGTTATGTGGAGGGGAATCATGATGATGACAAGCCAAGGTGTTGAGCGTAACAAAGTTTTAGAGGTTCTAAAGGAGAGAGGTCAACATGAGACTTTTGGGGAAGCACAAAGAAAGAAGAAAAGGTCCAAAGCATGTTGCCACCATTAAGGGATACGTTTGCAGCCTATAGGGCAAAGTTGGCCAAGCTCGAGTTAGCCATAGAAGACATCCATGAGCACTTAAGACTCTTAACTCTCAGATAAAGGAGTAAAGGGATAAGTGCAATAATGTCGAGGAGCTCAAAGGTAAGCTTCCAAGTGCCTTCCCTATTTCATTGCTAATATGAACAAGGCCATAAAGGAGTTTCGTGAGTCCATCATAGGAGAGGTGAGTGTGATGAAGGTGGAGCTTAACAAGATTAAAGTTGATCTCACCTTGTGCAAAGCCTCCTTAACAGTTGGGGAGTGGCCAACGTAAGGCCAAAGCTCAAGGTGCCTGAGCCTCCCAAATACATAGGTAAATGCAATGCTAAAAAACTTGCTTATTTCTTATAATGGTTGAAAGATACTTGGATGCCATGATTGTTATGGATATTCTTATGAAAATTTGCACGGCAACCATATGCTTTGAGCACAATGCCACCTTGTGGTAAAGACACCAATATAGTGAGATGTAATAGGGCTTATGCAACATCAACACCTAAGAGGTGTTCAAGGGGGAGTTTTGCAAGCAATTCTACTTCAAGAAAGCTAAAGAGAGCCATGAAGAAGCTTTGTGTGGTCAAATGTATAAGGTCAATCAAGGACTAAATCAGAGAGTACAACTCCTTAATGCTTAAGATCTCTAACATGTCTGAAAAGAGTCAACTACTTTACTTCATGGACAGGCTACAGCGATGGATTGAGTAAGAGTTAAAGCATTATGGTGGTCAAGATCTTGCCTCAACCATAACGGTTGTAGAATCCTTATCGAGCTTAGTAAGGAATCTCTTAAGAAAGGCAAATACAAGAATGGTAGCTCAAGAAAAGGCGGGGAAGACAAGCCAAATAAGACCTCAAGCCATTCAAGGATATGGGAAAGGCAAGTGTTAATAGCAAGGTGCGACCTAAGGTGAAATAGTATTGCTATTGATGTGGAGGGCCACACTAAGCAAGAAAGTGCTTACAATGGAACAAACTTAATGCTATCATCTAAGCAATTGGGGAGCCATCCCAAGTCGAGGAGACACGTTTGGAAGTTGTATAAGTTCTTAATTCCATATTGGCCAAGGTGAAGAGTGTGCATGATGCTAAAGTGAATACAGTAATGAAAAGGAGTCCTAGCAAAACCCTCAAATATGTGACTATCAATATCAAAAGGTTAAATGTCCATGCTCACTTGGATAGTAAAAAATAAATGAGATATTAGAATTTGGTGTGATAAAAAACAATATGTATCCTTTTAGTTAAAAAAAAAGGGATGGTAGCTAAAGGATGCATGTAAATTATAGGGAACTCAATAAAGCCATAATAAAAGACAAGTTACTATGCCTATAATGGAAGAGTTGTTGGATAAGTTACGTGGCACCAAATTAGAATGAGGGAAATTGCTACTTTTATGACACATTAAGGACATTATGAGTTTTTAATGATACCCTTTGGACTTACCAATGCTCCCTCTACTTTCCACACAATAATGAATTCTACTTTCACTTGTATATCAAGAAATTTGTTTTGGTGTTCTTTGATGACATATTGGTTTCTAGCCATACTTGGGAACAATATATGCAACATTTGCAAACAATTTTGAACACTCTCAGAGAACACACACTGTTTGTTAAGATGAGCAAATATGCCTTCAGTGTACAACAAATTGAATATTTGGATCACATTAGTTCTGCTCAAGGGCTATCCATGAATACAATAAAGTTCTCTGTTATAATCAATTGACTAGTTCCCTAGAATGTAAAGGAATTGAAGGGCTTCTAAGGGTTGATAAAGTACTATAAAAGGTTTGTCCAAAACTACAAATTAATTTCAAAACCTCTTACAGATATATTGAAAAGGAATTGTTTTGCATGGCATTCATCAGCTTTAAAGAACATTTGAAGTGCTTAAGGAAGCTATGCTAACTAGACCTAGCAAACGGGTAGATCATGCTTGGTTAGGATGGGTTAGAATGGATTAGGTTAAAATGGGTCATGGGTCAATGAAGACTGACCCTAATCCACTCATCATAGATCATAGGTTAACCCGCAAGTTAACCAAATTGAAGTTTTTTTTCATTTTTTTTCTATAGCCTATACTTATTACCATCCAAATTATTTTGGATGATTTCACAATCCAAAAATTAACATTCAATCACCGAGCTTCACATAAACTAGCTAAGTGGGCACAAGTAGAATAAAGATCTCATCTCAAGAAACTACGAACAATAGCCTTTAAAATTCAACTAGCTACATTCTTTTAGGATGACATAAAACTTGAAAAGAAAAGAAAAATGAGCAATGACTTCAGTCCTTGATGCATAGTTCTATCATTGATTTGAAAGTAAACAATATCAATTCATAAAGTTTATAACGCCAAAGCTATACAAAGAAGGTTGCCAAGTACAAATTAGTGAAATCATGATTTAGGAACAAAAAAAAAAAAGAAAGAAAATTCACAACGTTCATAGTGCCAATTGCCAAAATTGTTGAAAAATAGAAAGCTATCAATTAAGTACTAACTACAACTACGTAACTACCAAGTATGGAAAAAACAAAAGCCTACTGAATAATAACTCCCAAGTAATAATACAAGAGACAAAATTAGGTTGGTGGGAGAACAAATAGGCTACCAAGTACCAAAGCTATCCAACCTAAATGTGCCCTGAGCTAAAAAATAATATGGTTAAAAACTTAGAACAAGGTTAAGAAACTCATAGTGACATTTGCCAAAA